TCCTTCGGGGCGGGGGCTCACCTGCTTCATCTTGGCCAGCTCCCGGCGCGTGTGCTCGTCGTTGCGCAGATCCTTCTTGTTGCCGACCAGGATGATGGGTACGTTGGGACAGAAATGCTTCACCTCCGGGGTCCATTTCTCCGGGATGTTTTCTGCACAGGGGCAGGATCAGCATCAGGCACCCAGACCAGGCCCTGCCCAGCTCCCCCTGCCTGCGCTGGCAGCCTGGACCCCTGGGCTCTACCCCGGCACTGGGAAGGGAGCGACCTAATGGTCTAGAGCCGGCGGGCTGGGGACCAGGACTCCTGGGTTCTCTCCCATGTGCTGGGAAGGGAGTGGGGGCTAGTGGTTAGAGCAGGATCCAATACCGCCAGCTCAGGGCCTGTAGCAAACCCTGAAGCTGCTGTGTGACCTGGCCGTGACAGGGGGCTGAGCCACAGTTCACCTGGGCACCCTCTGCCCGGCACTGAGATCCGGGCTCTGGCTGCGGCCACACGGTGACAGGGGACCCAGCTGGATCTCCCCGGCGCCTGGCCCCCCAGCACTCACCCAAGCTGTCAGGGCTGTCGATGGAGAAGCACATGAGGATGACGTCCGTGTCAGGGTAGGACAGGGGTCTCAGGCGGTCGTAGTCCTCCTGGCCAGCCGTGTCCCACAGCGCAAGCTCCACCTGTGTGAGACAAGGGTGGCAATGGACAGCCACCCACCTTGGGTTCCAGTTCCCACTGGAAAGTCACTGGCTTGGGGTGACCAGACCCCGTCACGGGTCCTGAGCCAACCGCTCCTCTCCCCACTCTTGGGCACCCTGCTTTGTCTCAGTCCTCCAGCCATCACCACACAGGGCCGGAGGTCCAGACAGGGCCTGGGCTGCAGATGCCGGCAATCCACCACCATCATGAGAAGGGGGGAGGGATAGCTCAGTGGTTTGAGCATTGGCCTGCTAAACCCAGGGTTGTAATCTTTGAGGGGGGCCACATAGGGATTGGGGCAAAAATCAGTACTTGGTCCTGCTAGTGAAGGCAGGGGGCTGGACTCGATGACCTTTCAGGGGTCCCTTCCAGCTCTGAGATATACCAGTTCAGCACCTGCTGGCCTGTTCTCTCAGGGCCGTGACAAAGCTACCGGGCCCCAGCCAGCAAAGTGCTGTTTGTTCAGAACAAAAGTGAGCCGGAGAGACCAGATCTTGCCACAGCTCAGACACAGGGCTGTCCAGGCATCTCCCAGCTGGGGACCCCGCCAGGGGCGGAGTACTCGCCCCGGCCCTCCCCCCAGGTCAGACACGCCACACACCCTCAAGCTCCGGGGGCCAATCACTAGCCAGCCCATTGAGATATACATGGATTTCGAAGGCCGCTGCTCTAATCTTACTACTGTGTCCATAGCGCCTCTCACTAGGCCATGCTTCATAAGCACCGCATCTGTCCCAGCCCTGAGCCCCGGGCAGGCTGCTGGGTAGAGGACCAGGTTCCAGTAACAGCTGGGGGTGTGGTAAGGATACGGTATCTCCCTACCTGCAGCGAGGCTCCCAGGGAGGGCAACAAGTGGCCTGCCCAGAGACTAAGGCCCCCGTGTACCACCGCAGCGTTGTCCGTTTGTTCAGACCCTGACTGTCCCATTCAGCACCACTCCCTGCTGCGGTCCCTCCCCCTCCCCGGCCCATCGATATCAGTGAGCAGGCAGGGAAGGGCGGTGGATACTCAGAGTTAACCGCAGCACTTACAGGCAGCACATCAAAGCTAGACAGTTCTCCCCCAGCACAGTCACTTCCTGTTAACCCTTGAGGGTGCAGTTTCCCCAAGCCAGAGGCCAGGAGAGCAGGGTGCCATCTGCCCCTCATCCAAAGCTAGTCTAACGCCTCCACCCTCCTCAGGACGGACCCCAACCTCTCCTCCCTGTGGCGAGAGGCCAAGGTTAACGGTCCCACCCCAGCCCGTGTGGTGCCCCGGTACCTGTTTGCTGTCCACCTCGATGTCAGCCACGTAGTTCTCGAAGACGGTGGGGACATAGACCTCCGGGAACTGATCCTTGCTGAAGACGATGAGGAGGCAGGTCTTGCCACAGGCGCCATCTCCCACGATGACCAGTTTCTTCCGTATGGCAGCCATCTCTGGCCCGGGAGAGAGGGGGAATGCCCGTCACAGGGGTGCTGAGGCGGGCAAGCTAGGGCCCAGCCTGCTGGAGGCAGAGTCCATGAAGGGGAACCTGCTGGCAGGCACAAGGCCCGGATGTCCCCCAGGAACACCGGCACTGACAGCTGGAACAAGGAAGCTGGTGCCATGTGGGACAGGTGAACTAGCCCAGGGGAAATGCTAGAGGGAGTGATCAGGGGAAGGGAACCCAGCTCTGCTTCTCAATTTCCCTGTGCAGACAAGCCCAGAGCCCCCACCCCCCATACCCAGACTTTCCAGCTTCAGTCAAGCCTCTGCCAGCAATCCCAGAGCACGAGCCAGACTAGACTCCAGGCTCCGCAGGGATGACCAGAGCCCCAGCTCACAGAGCAAAGCTGGCTTGTATGGGCAGCTGGAGGCTGGGAATCCAGGTCTGGGTTCAACCCCTGCCTCTGCCATGCTCCGTGTGACCCTGAGCCAGCCACCAGAACCCAAAGGAAGCTGGCACCTAGCCCCATTTTAGGCAGCTGAGGATCCTTGCCCTGTTGCCTCAGTTTCTCCAATTCCTCCTCTACCCTTTAATTAAGCTGTCAGCTCCCTGGGGTGGGGGCCTGTGGCAGAATAAGGCCCCCCTCCCACCCTGACCTGCTGGGGCCTGTGCAGTGCAGCCATGAGACAGTGAAGGGGAGGTCAGGGATAGAACTCCAGAGACCCGGGGTCTATTCCTGCCGGCCACAGGGTGACCACACACAAGTCACTCCGGCTCTGTGCCTCAGTTTCCCCATCTATAGACATGGGAGACTCCCTGGCAAAGCCCTTTGGGGTCTGCTGATGACTACTGAATTGCATTGTTCTGCCAGCAAGTCGGTGATTTCTGTCCCTCTCACCCTGGAGCGGCTGGGGTTAAGCATCCCCAAAGCTGTCAGGCTGCGGCCCCAGACGGGACCCAGCGCTACAGCAAAGCTGTATGCCACTCTGGCTCGCAGAGTCCTGGCAGTAGGGATCGAGGGACGAGCCTGCTCTGCTGGGGCCAAGGTCCTAGCTGCTTTGCTCAGCTGGGTGGCTGGCTTCCTAAGGCCATCAAACCCTCAACCCCTGCCGTTGTGTGTTTTTAAGAGGGGAGGGGCCCAGCAGCCGGGTGATTCACCACTTTGGCCACTGGGCTGCAACAGGAAGTTTCAGAGGCAGGCGAGTTACACCCACATGTGGCACGTGAAGCGGCATTCCCAGGATCACCCGCCCGCACTTGGAAAAAGTTAGACAAGCTGTTTCCAGCAGCCATGGAATTAACCAACCTGCTGCCTACGTGCACTGCCCCGCTGACACTGACCGCTGGGGGGGGGGGGGGGGGGGGGGGGGGGGAGCTGGGCTTTCAGGGCTTGAGATCCGGACGCAGGAACATGAGAACAGTCATACTAGGTCAGACCAACGGTCCAGCGAGCCCAGTCCCTGACTCCTACCCTCCAGGAACTTCTCTTGTGCTTTTTTGAACCCAGTGTTCACAACATCCCCTGGCAGTGAGTCCCCCAGGGAGAAGTGCTTCCTTCTGTCTGCTTCAAACCTGTTGCCTATGTTCAAGGTAAACCCTCTGCCACAGGGGAAGGTCTGAACAGGGGCACCACCAGGGGACCTTTGCTACATGCATTAAGCTGAGCTAGCAGGGAGCAAGTCCTGTCAACAGCTGGTAAATCCCAAACTAAAGAGATTCAGGTTTCTAGGCCTCAGTGGGGAGGAGACCGGGCCATTTTTACAGGGCAGAAGGAGCTGGAAGCATCAAGACCAACAGAGTTTAAATCCTCATCATATCTGAGCACACTCACCTCATTGTACAAGGAGGGAAACTGAGGCACAGAAGGCACAAAGGAGTTAGCAGCAGAGCTGGGATCAGAACCCAGGGCCTAGGCTCCTACCCCAACCCCGATCTACTCCTAGTCTGGGATCACCCAGCAGTACACCAGAGTCCAGGGCACAAATGCTAGATCACCACAGCACAGGTCATCTCAAGAGGTCAATTCGCCCCCAAACCTGGCTAGAGCAGCCGGTCACTAGACTCGACAGACAGCCGCAAGGTTTGCTCCTGCCGGGAGAACTGTGAACCCAGGGGGCCAGTTTGAGCAGCCCAGAGAACAGAGCGGAGCACGGGCTGGCTCCGCACAGCGGCACTTCAGCTCTGGATCGGTACCGGAGGAGAAGGCTGAGAGAGCACAGAGGTTTCTGAAGGCCGATGGTTATGAGGTTTGGTAACTCATGGGTCAGAGGGGGCAACAGTGCAGCCGTGGGGGTTCGGCGCCCATCCTGGAGGGGCAATCAGCGAAGGGCAACACAAACAGGTGTATAACCAGAAGGGGACTCCCCTGGGTCACCAGGGAGCATTTCCCACCTCTCTGCTTGGCACAGGAGCAGCCTTTTTGTGCACACCAGGAAGTGAAGGGCCAGGAGGGTGAGGCTACAGGGGCTAAAGGAGAGAGCCTAGGTGTGAACTGACAGCCAGAGTGGTCGAGACATCCCCTCAGATTCACCAAGGATGGACCTGCCTACCCCACGGCAGCCTTCCCCTGGGCCAGCTACCTAGAGGGGCCTGCTCGGGAGCGGCTCAAACAGCAGCTGCAGGTGGGTGTCCGGGTACACGGTGTCCGCAGCTACCCCGGGTTATGACAAGGCCCCACCCCAGGCACCAGAGAGAACCATCACATGACTGGATCTTCCACACAACCCAGAGGCCAGCGCCTGCCCCTGCCCCACAGGCCCCAGGAGACAGTCTGTGCCCTAGACTCAGGAACTGGGGGTCCCCCAGCGCCCTGGCCAGCCAGGACGGGAAAGATTCTTCCCCACGCTCTGGACTGGAGAACCAGGGGAGAGAGGCCTACTCCCCAGCCCCCCACAAATCAACCCCCCCCCCCACACACACACCCAGCCCCCTCGGCCTCACCAGCACAGGACCAAACATCCTCCCCCCATCTCTGCCCCAGGCAAAGGCTTGGCCCCCCCGCCCCACCCGGGCCAGACACCCCCCCCCCGCCAGCAACTCACCCACAGGCTCCCCCCACCCCCGGCCCAGCGCCCCCCCCAGCCCCCCCATATACACCC